GTCTTTCATCGTGAGGAAATATCTGCATTTATTCCATGACACCACTCCGATATGGCACACGTCAGAATGAAATCGTTGGCCAGGCAAACAATCTCGCTTTTCTCGATTGGGATGTCGACTTATTGTTTGCTTACCATAATGACACGATTCACAATCGTTCTTATCTGAAAAAGTTACTTCAAGACCTTCTGTTAAATCATTTTTATACATTGCTCGTATTACAGTATCACTTACGTGTCCCAATCGTTGATGCCATAATCCAACTGACCAAGCTACATTTGCAGAAATCAATGGTGGCTTGACTCGAATATAAGGAATGTATTGATTTCCAATCCTTTCTCCACCTATCATGGTTTGTCGCCCCTTACTTAATCGCATGATTCCATTTCCGTGATAAAAACTATATCCTTTATTTATTTCCATGAACGTTGTCGAAAATAAGGATGCAGCGCCCATCTCTTTCGCATAATACACATTTTCCCACGTACGTTTCTCCCATCTCTTGCCATCATTTGATTTTTCAACAGCGATGTTGCTTATATGGGTTGCCTGTAAAGATTTACCATTTGCGACATTTAATATTAACGGTGTATTGAGCTTACGTAACGACGAAAACCATTCCATGTTTCCTGTCAAATGAACGCTTGCTCCCGAATCTGCAAGAATTTTATTTTCTTCGTTTATCTTGAAGGCTGACGATGCTGACAGACCAGTTTCTTCTTTTTGATCCTTTGATTTCTCATTTGTCTTCTTTTCTTCAGATGACGCCGATTTCTCCAATTTCGACCAACAATCTTTTTGCAAGTGTCCCTTTTTGCCACACTTGTGACATTTTCCTTGAAATCTCTTGTTTATCGTCTTCTTTGCTTGATTACTTCCTGGTTGCGATTGAGCCTTAAAAACTTCACGCGATGTTTCAATTGAACGCTCAGTAATGCTTCTCTCCACATTCGTGAGCTTTTCCAGAAAAGATTCCAGTGATATATCTTCTGATAAAAGTGACCAGCTTGTGACGAAATTATCAAATTCTTTTGGTAGACAGCCAAGGATTTTTGCCATCATGAGTTTTTCATTGAAATTTCTTCCAAAGTCGTCAGATTCTAACGCTTCGATTCGACGAGCGATAACCTTAAGCCCTGCTACGAACGTACCGACCGTACTATCCGGTTTCCATGAGTAACTAAAGAATTCACGCAGTAATTCCAAAAGAACATTTAATGTTTTCAGTTCATTAATAGCTTTAATTCTTTTTAAAATGTCCGCTGACGATTCACAATCACATACTTGTCATACTTGATCAAATGTCGTATCATCTAGCGTTGACCGAATGATCGAACGAGCTTTACTATCTTTCGCTTTCCATTCTTCTATTTCTTTCCTATTCGTTGTGGTGTCACTCGCATCTCTTATCTCTCGTGGTTTGTCTGCAATTCCACTGGCGATTTCCCATATTCGGTGACTTTCTAACGCATCCCGAATCTCAATCTTCCAGCGGTTGTATGATGCCTTTGAAAGCTTCGTCACTCGAATTTCTCGACTAAAACTTTCTTCTGCCATGGTTTCTTCAGATAACCACGGAAACAAATACGCTTGTTCTTTACGAACACTCACTGTATCGTCTCTCTCTCTTTTAACCTCAACACAGTTCGCACCGACGAGACGAACAGCGCTTAAGTCTCATAATCTGATGGAAAAGAACTCGATAGGCTTTGTTTGTTGGAAAAGCATATACATATATATTTTAGTATAAACAATGAGATACACTCGTGAATAACTAAAGAATTCCACGTGAACTACGTGAGCGGGCTTAAGGTGAAAGCACATAAAATTGCAGGAGCCATGAGCAGAATGCAGAAGCCATATGCGCATGCGCTGTGGTATCTGTAGAGCTCTACAAATACCATAGCGCATGCGCATATGGCTTCTGCATTCTGCTCAAGGCTCCTGCAATTTTATGTGCTTCCACCTTTACTTGCGACTTTTACCAAAAACTAAGAGACAGCGATCCGCACGCACGCTCGTATATGCTCAGGTCTACCAATCAGAAGAAAAATAAAAGTGCATGAAAACGTACTCTAATCTGAGTCCAACCAATAACTAAGCGTCTTGAACATGTCAATTTCAACAATATCTTTATTAAAAAATGTATGTTTCCGGTACAATTTCCCGTAAAACCTATGTTAAAAATGCCAACTTTGAGATTTAATATCTTAAAAACTAGACGTCAGATCTTCTCAAAATTGCAAATTTAAGTGTATTTAGGTTTTCTTTATAATATAGTTTTAATTCAGATTTTTTTCTTTGACATGCTCTGATGGCCCAATAACCTTAAAGGAAGAATAGCTTGTATTATATAATGATTTTACTATTAAGGAAAAAAAGAATTTTTCCACATTAAACTTTGATAACATGTGGAAAGAGAGTCTACACACATCAGTCTAATCATATTGCGAAGTATCCTAATTTAACATTATAGTTCATTAGTAATTATGAGAAACATAACATTTAATTTAATTTTAATTAATTTCTTTATGTACTGTCAATAAGTTATTTTTCAAAAATTAATAACGTAACTTAAAAAAAGACTTACATGTTGGCCAAGAGTGGATTTCTATTATCATTTATCATTTTTACTTCTTTCTGTTCTTTATTTCTTTAACTTAATATCTTTTGTATATAAAATATATTTCCATTTTATTTTTAAGTATGAAAAGGGACATATAAGCGGCGAGATATAATATACACGTGTAGGCATGATTCTCGCGGCGCGGCTGCTGGCGACGGCGCCCAAATTAGACCTGATAATTTAGAATATTTAATTCAATTTTTTTGTATTAATAATTAAAATAAAAAAGATTATTTACATAAATATTTATTACCTATTTCATGAAATTTTTACGTTTTAATTGTGACATAATTAAGAGACACGGATAATGTTTCGCGCCTAGTGCGGAAAGAGACACGCGAAGACGCGAGTAAGACGCGCGAGCCGATCGTACAATAGAATTTTACGATTCTCGTGGCTGGCGACGCTAGCTCGAGCAAGAAAGAGACGGCAGATGTATGTCTGCGCTCTTAGGCCGCTCGAAGCTGGCCGAACGACGAGCGCACAGCCGCCGCACACGTACACGGCTGCTCGCTTATGTGCGCTGTGCTGCTGCTTGCTGTAAAGTCCCTTGCACAATGCCAGGCAACAAGCAATAGGAACAGGGAATAGAAATCAGAAATCATGTATAAATGTAAAATAAACAGTGACACAGGCAATAGACACAGAGTTTCCGTCAGGTTGGAAATTCTGTGCCTATTGCCCCCGTTGTCAACAAATTTTTAAGGTTATAATTAACCATTTTTTGGTTATTTCCAGATCCTATTGCTTGTTGCCTGGCATTGTGCAAGGGGCTTAAGCGGCTTAAATCTAGCATAAATACAGGATCGCTGGAATGCTACCGAATTGGTAGTATGCGGTAGCGTGTGAAACTACCGCATTTCAGCGATCCTGTATTTATTAACACTTGGCCACGGCCAAGGTTAAGCCGTGCCGAGCAAGCGAGAGAGAGAATATTATTCTCTTTTTCTCGCTCTGAATCAGCAGATACGATCGACACGGATAAATTTATTTTCGATGTAGATTCATATAAATGCAAGAGAATAAAAATTGGTGATTAGTCCATATTACATATCCTCTTCTTGTAATTAACTTTACTCGTAAAGAACTCAAAAGTGATACGTATATAATTTTTTCTGAATGTAAAAATTTTTTATAATATGTATTCTTTATTCTCTTATAAAATGAAACAAAGTAGTATTATATAAGAACTGATATAATCAGAAGAACTGATATATTCTGATAGTATCAAAATTATTCGAAGAACTTTTAATTCATTTAGATCGGGTATTGTAAAGATTAAACAAATATAATTTTAAATTGAATTTTGAAAAGGCTTTGAAACATACATCATTGATATTGTATTTTAAGTTTCAAAATTTTTTGCCACAAAAAAATTTTGTTAATTGTTTAAACAATACTAATTATTTAAATAACAAAAAATCATACTCAAACTGTTAACGGTGATCCCTTCTAACATATAAAAAATTTTGAGTTGTTTGACAATACATGCAAAGTCTTCAATCAAGAAAACAAAATTATACTACATATAGCTATAGGTAAAACATCCTTAAGTTAAGGACATATTTATTCGGACAACATTTTTACATCATGACTGATCATAAGGCTTTAACATTTTTCACATGCTTTAGATTCACGATGGTACTTTCGAATCTGACAAATTTAGTCGGCGCGCAGTCAAGGTTGAAAGATATGTGAAATAAAAATAAAAATAAAACTTTCGCGCATTATTTACCGCGCTTGGTTTCTTAGTTAGCCCGTTTTCTATATTCGTGAATTTCTATTAGAGCCTATACTTCAAATTTTGAGTATTTTGTGTTATCTTATTTTCTTAATATTTTATTGAAAATTTAGTTTACCCCTTTATTTATTGTTTATTATAAATAAGTCACTATTCCTTCAGTTAGAGGTTAGTTTATTTTATAATAATAAGTATTTAACAAATTGTGGCAAAAATATAAGTTGGGACAAAAGTATCAGTCTGTTACTTTTGTCCCAAAAGTAATAATTGTTATTGGTGTTGATTTCTATTTATTTATATATGTATTTTTTAAATAAAAATATTTTTATTATTATTTAAAAATGCCAAATATACAAAAAAGAAAAACAAATAAAGGTTTAGCAACGTCTGTTTAAAATAATTTTAAACGTCTAGAACTATTTAAAAAAGTTTTTAAAAAATAAAACCTTTTGCTACATTAATTATATTGTTGCGCCCGTGCCGGGACGCCCGGTAGAAGCCCGAAAAGCAGTCGCGAAGCGCTGCGTGACGTCGTGCCTGACGACGAGCTGTTGCGATATTATTTGTTTACATTTGCCGTCTGTCAAATTCTTCGCTGGGCCTTCGTGGCGAACAGACGTGTTCACGAGCCCTTCGTTGTATTCGCATATTTCCATTGAACGAGTTCCTTTCTACCAGAGAGAGTCTTTATTCCCGACAACGGGATCGCGCGCCGCGTTCGCGAGTGTGTGCGTGAGTGTGTGTGCAGCGAACGCGCGGACGAGCGTAACAATATGTTCGTTTTTATTTTATTTTATCTTATTGAAATCAACCTTGAGCTCTGTTACAACCAGCCCTAGGGGTAGGGACAATCGTAACAAATTCGATCTTCATAAAATTTGATTTTTCTAAGTAATTATAAAATGTGAATGAATTTTATTTATACCATAATGTAAGTAAAGAATGTATTTACCTTATGAAAGAATGTATTTATTTTATAAAAAAGAAAAAGTTTATATATAATATATAAATAAGTAAATCGAAGATATCAATTCAAATGAGCAAAATGTTACGTTTGTCCCTGGTCTCCCCTACTATAAAAAAATTAGAATGTGAAATATTTGTTCTTTGTATTTAACAAAAAAAAATTTTTAGACACCCTTGCATTTTTGCTATATATCGTAGGGGTGAAATGTATATAGAGGAAAGTCCCCTATTATGAGATAGGCGATAACGAGGTTTTTGCTAAACTAATAGGTTCTATCTGCTGGTTCCATCATGAACTTATTGCCCTTAGAGTAAAACCTATTTAGTGGAAAATTCATTATTTGATCGTGCGTGCACTCGTCTATTACATTTTGCTTCCTCATAGAGGAAGCTTTGTTTTCATAAACTTCGTATATGGACCTTTGATCGCATATATAAAACTAAATCTAATTAACCAAATGTTAATGAATTATGTATGAAATAGGGGTAGAAGAAACTAAAGAAAAGATTGTTTTTTGAGTTTTTAATGTCAATATGTTCAGTGTTCTAAAACGTCGAAATATTGCATTAAAAAAAATGTCGTGTGTATGTATTTATGTACGTCTGTGCCAAATTTATAGAAATTTCTATAACTCCCAAAGAGATTTACCAAATCTTAACCAATTGTATATGAAATAGGGGTAGAAAAAACTGAAGAATATAATAGAATTAATAAAAATTGTTAATAATAAAGAGGTTACCGATTTCTGTTAAAAAAACAGCCAAACTTACTAAAATTTCTATAACTCAAGAACTGATTAACCAAATTTTAAAGAATTATTATGAAACAGGGGTAAAAAAACTGAAGAATCGTTTTTATTTCCGCTCTTGTTTTATTGAGCTTATAAATTTTTATATTTATAACATCTATGCGCAAGATCGTTATAGGGATCGTCTTTTATAGTACGCTATCTTTTTATTATTTCATTTTTATAAAAGGTTGGTTTTTTTTCTTTCTTTAGATTCACTATGGCATTTATCGAATTAATCATCATTGCCCTGAGCGCTCTATATATTTATTATAAGTTTGTCATCTTCAATTTTTGGCGAAAAAGAAACGTTTTTTATATCGAACCCGTTGTGCCAACTGGAAACATAACGACATTAATAACTGGAAAACAGCAAATAGGCGAGTACACTGAGAAAAAAATGTTGTTAATTTGACTAAACTTGTTTAGTTGTAGTAATTTGTTTAATGCAAATATTAATATATTTAAATCAAATATACGTGAGTAATATCAAGAAATTCTGAATCTATTTAAATATTGTTGCGTGCGCGCCGCCCGGTATACTTCTCTGA